TGGTTAAGGAACGATGCTTGGATGAGAAAGTCGCAGCCAAGTTTGCCGACAAGTTCAACAAGATTTCATGGTGTGCTGCACGGAAAGGGGATTTGTTTTGTGGCAACATGCCGGATGGAATGGGCTTTCTGATCTACCACATGGAGGGCAACAGGTTGATTGCAACGATGTCCCTTGAGGAAGCATGTGGTTTGGTCCAACCAGCATTTGACATGACCAACGCCTCACCGGAAGATTTGAAGACCCTTTTGAAGGACCGGGCATGATCACAATGATTGACTGACTTGACTATCTTGACGTGAGACGGATGACCCTGGAGACATTTGACTGGTGAGAACCGTGAGCCCCCACACACGTAGCGATTTAGCAGAGTTTTCTGAGACTATGACTCTGACTCTATTGAGCAAATTAGATAGTGTGATTACGGACTCATATATACAAAGTTCAATCGGTATCGGCTATCGGTATGTATTAGTATGTGGCATGTGGCATGTGGCTATGTTTTAATGTCACATGATCACACTATGGTTTTGATGTTGGCTGAACATACATACATACTATAAGTTACTGTATACATATAATACTCTACTCTACTAACTCTACTAAACTAATACTAACTATTATGTAACTGTAACTATATATAACTTAGAGTCGAGTCAACTGATTAGTTCAATTCAATTCAATGTTTCTGTTTTGATATATATGTGGGCGCGCACGACGGAAGACCATTGTGGACAATGACAGGATGCTGCCACTGCTATGTCACAGTTGGACGTGGCAACCATGACAGCAAAGGGGCCTGCATGTTCATCGTTGAGGATCACGTATGTCACCCCATGGGATATCTTGTATGTTCCATGTGGGTCCCTGCTGTGCGAGAAGGCCCTGGGAGCAGATTGCGTGTCACTTCGGGTTCCTATGACCTTGATCAGTCATACACAAAAGTTTTCAACTCGGTTCCTCATGAAGTCTTCCCGATCATTTGCTGATTCAAGACCAGAGTCAGCTGGATGCAATTAGTCCGTTCGAAACAAGACAGGCCCAGGCCAGGTCAACTTTTGTTGGACTTGTGACTCGTGACTCGTGACTGGACTTCACTTGACTGGTAAATAGATGTCACAGTCACAGTCACAGTTGTCGTAAACAAGTGGCATGGGTGGGTGTTGAGCGTTTAGTAACCTAGACTCGCATGCGGTAACTAAAAAAGCGTGGGTGTGCTACTATGTTGAGCATTGACTATATATGTCACTATGTCCTAAACTCGCAGTGACTGTAGCATTAGTGGCAGTGGTAGCAATAATGGGAGAGCTAGCTAGCTGTTTTGTGTTATGGTTTAGATGGCTTGTTTTTATTTCAAGTATTCAATGTTCAAGTAAGTATTGTAGTTTATTGATGTTGTCGGAGTCATGTCGGAGTCGATGTTGATTGATTACCCTTTGACCCGCTGGTCGCTGACATGCCTCAAACTCAGGAGGCTCGTTTCCGAGCTGCTGTTCAAGATGAATGAGGCTGTCTACGACCAGGGATGCAATGAAGATGTGCTGACAGTGACTGTGCCAAAATTGGATGATGCAGCTGCGAAGGGGGGCCCCAATGAATCCGATGCAGAGATCAGAAAGGAAACATCACCACCACTGACTGATTGGAGTCAGACTGAGGCCCCATTCAGCTATGAGAATCCACCAAATGAGGATGAGCTTCGGGCCCTCCTATCCAAGGACGAATATGCACTTGTGGATGGTGAATGTGAGCGCATTAGGAATCACAGCAAATTCAAAGAATACGAACAATGGATAAAGAATGAGTTTGGGGCCGACAATCCAGATTGGATCTTTGGTGATCTGCTGCTGTCAGATCCGTTGGAGGATGTCATCGGTTTTGTTCTCTGGATTCATGGCAAACTACCAGAGCAGCAAGCTGGGCAAGCACCCCAAACCACATCATCCACGAGAACTTCACCACAGAAGGTGATCGATCTAGAGTGCATCACACCAGAGTCTGCAATGGAACTTGAGGAGATTCTGACCAATGATGCAAAGAAGGACAACTCCGACTACAACTTGCTGGTTGAAATTGAACGGATCCAACAGCACCATGCATTTCCGGCCTACAAAGCCTGGGGGGTCAGTGCACACGAGCTTGATGAAGACCATATTTTTGGTCGTCCGGAGAGCAACCATATCCATGAGATTATGCACTTCGTCACTTGGTACTCCAAGAATGGCAAAACAAACACACCGAATGACCAGGGTGACATTGTCATGGAGGACCACCAGGGTGGGACTTTGAATGAGACCACTGCGAACCAGCCTGCACGAACAGCCGATGAGCAAATTCCAAGCGAGGTGGCACAGCCTACAGACTTCGTGGCCAGCGCCCAGCCATCCCAGCATGAAGACGGAGCAAAGCCCATCCAGCAACAACAGGCTCTTGAAAACACTGAGCCACAGCCGCAGCTGCCACAGAAGCCAAACGAAGACAGCAAGGATGAGCTTCAGCAGCAGCCGCAGCCAGCAGTGGATCTTAAACCAATGAAGCAGGACAACAAGCAGCAGCAGATCCAGCAAACCTCACCTGAACAGACCGCACCAGCCAACAATGGTGGTCTACCCAGTACAGCAGCAGAACAACAGCCACGACCAGAACTGGCTCTTGAACTGGCTAAGTCGGCTGAGCAAGAACCAAACAAGGAGAACAAGGAGCAGGTCACAACCGAACAGACCATACCAGCCAACAATGGTGGTCCACCCCGTCCAGAAGCAGAGCAACAGCCACAGCCAGAACTAGCTAAGTCGGCTGAGCAAGAAACAAACAAGGAAAACAAAGAGCAGGTCACAACCGAACAGACCATACCAGCCAACCATGGTGGTCCACCCCGTCCAGAAGCAGAGCAACAGCCACAACCAGAAATGGCTCTTGAACTGGCTGAGCAAGAACCAAACAAGGAGAACAAGGAGCAGGCCACACGCGAACAGACCACACTAGCCAACCATGGTGGTCTACCCAGTGCAGTGCCGATGGAGCCTCAGCATACCCCATCGCGACATCCTGATCCGTTGGGTGTACCGGTGTCAGGCAATGGTTTGACTAGCACGAGCAGCAGCAATGGTGTGTACCAAGCAGGAATTCCACCAGTCCCAGTCCCATCAACTTCAGCTGCAGCTGGCAAATGTGCCATGCTTGGTGCTGAGGCCAATGAACACACTTCGCAAAACAAGTTCCAGGCCCAGAACCAGTCAGATGAGGCAAAAGAGAAGGAAACAAGGAATTCAACAACAGGATCAGAATCAGAACCAGCAAAAAACGACAACGGCGAGACGAAAGACAAAGGTAAGAAAGACAAGGACAAGAAAGACAAGGACAAGAATGACAAGAAAGACAAGAACAAGCATGACAAGAAAGACAAGGACAAGGATTCCAAGGACCACAAGAAAGACAAGGACAAGAAAGAGAAGAAAGACAAGGACAAGACTTACAGGACTGATGATGAAACAGAACGAAAGGAGTCAAAGGATAAGAAGTCTTTGTCTGAGCCAAGGCTGGATGATGTCGGTGCACGTCTCCACAAGAAGATGAGGGAGGCAGTTGAGACCATGGAGACTGCCAGTCAGGCAAGCGGTACTGAGATCCACACCCCTAAGAGTGGGGGAAGCAAAGGCAAAGGCAAAAGCAAAGACACGAGTAAGGGCCAGGGCGGCAAGGGCAAAGGAAAAGGTCGTGGGAACTCCAAAGGCAGTGAAGGTGAAGGTGAGAGTGGCCAGAATCAACATCCTTCCAAGCCTTCCAGGTCAAGGAAAGGTGACAGTGGCAGCAATGCTGCGGCCCCTCCACCAAAACGATGCAGGACAAAGGAATCACATGCCAATGCCAATGTTACTTGGTCTAAGAGAGATGGGCAGGTAGGGGGAGGGTAGGTACAGGGGATGGTTACTTTCATGCTGTGATTACATTCTAGGTTTCAATTGTGGCTTAAACACCCGAGCATCATACATAGCAAACCATCCAAGAAACTCCTGAGCTGAGCTGAACCCCAAATTCCCCCAAATTCTTACACTTGTGACATGGTCAGTGGACCTCTGGGGTGGGGGACTGTCCAGGTTATTTCCTTTTTTGTCACTTGAAGAAAAAATATGACCAATAACTCTGGGATCTGATCACGTGTCTTGATCGGCCCACTAGGCTAATGGCTCAGGACGCAAGCATTGACTTCCAGCCGTTCATCTCCCACACTGGTCCCCTCGCAGAGTCCTTCCGCAAGAGCAATCCCAATGTGAGCCAGTGACCATGGCTGGCAAGTGAGGGTGGCAAGTGTACCAAGCCAGCTTTGCTTTTTTTGTTCGGGAGCTCAGTGCTCAGCTCAGCTGAACATAATGCTGCTGAGTCCGGTGAGTGCTACAAATTGACAATGATCAATGTTCAATTACATGCATCGGTCACTGAACCATTGTGACTGATTTCCTTAGGTTAATGGTGATTTGTTGGGCTCACATCATCTCCACTTGGTGTTGATGAACTAGAAACACTATTAAACACTAAACCATGTCGAATCGATGTTGTTTACTTGTTGATTGATGTGTTGGCTTTCTTTGTAAGCTTGATAAACTGAGAGTCCCATGGGTCTCATACAATTCTGTAGAGAGCAGATTGATACAAAATCCTTCTGTACACACTCGTTCAACCATTGTTGAACACAGTGCAACAATTGTGTAGTTTGGTTCATGTGGAGTGATGAGCCCTCTTTATGGCCTCTGGGGTTTGGCCATGATTCATCTAAACGACCTCAACCTTGGCAGGAGCCAAAAAAAAGGAGCTTTGGTGGATTGCGCCAAAACATTTGGAATGGGTCCATTGGCAAAACAGTCTTGAAAACACACTTCCGGCAGCTGAAAAAGTTATATTCCCAAAATGGGATGAACTCAAACCTAAAAACCCTAGGTTGTGAAAATTGGCAGGGCAGGTCCTTTTTTTGTCCAAAACCTTCGGAATCGGAACCCTGACAGGCCGGAGCTGCGCTGCTTGGTCATGCCACGGCCCCAGTGCGAAAGCGCGCACCCTTCGCATCAGGGGAGCGCCTGCCGTTGGATCCGAGGGCGACCGGGAACCGGAATCCGTTCGCACCAGGTTTGGAGGTTGGAATCCGAAGAGTGGGATCCACCTGAACCACTCTGAGAGCCTGAACACTTTGAGCCTGTTTCTTTTTTTGCGTGCTAATTATACTTCATATATATCTGATTATCTACAATTCCCACGGAAAGATGGATTTGGCCGGAACACTGGACGTACGACATCATACGACAATTATTGGTGGGGGATTGGGGTAGTTCATGAAGCCCCCGCTCCAATTCCAGGCGGAACGGAGAGGAGCACCGAGGACACTCCCCCATCTTCGCCAAGCTCAGGTCGGCGACCCTGGAGGCCGAGAAGTTCCAGGAGACCCGAACCGAACCGTTTGAAAAGATGTTCATTTCAAACGAGGGGCCGCTGGGAAACCATGTCGTATATATAGTCTCGAACCAAGTGCCAAAAATGGATGATTGGAACTAGGGCGAATTCTGGAGGGGAAGATCATGGAAGATCCTTTTAATACCATCCAGATGGTGACAGTCACCTGAAATCACGGCAGGTCTCGAGAGACCCTCTGGACTTCTTTCAGCGTGTCCCACGTCGCGCGCGCGCGGCTCCCGCGGACCTCTTGGAACTTGCAGCGCTCACTAGTAATGGGGTTTGATTGGTCCAAAGAATGACGGAGCGATGAAAAGGACTGTGTCTGTCTGGTGGGATTCTATGGTGCGTTTTGAGTGCGACCTGGGGTTGATTTTAGCTTTGAGTGCATTTGGCCTTTGTGTGTGTGTCATTTGGGGTCCTACTATTGCCAGATTACCTGTATTTAGTTGAGATGCAAGGTATTGGAAGGTGATCATTATTTAGTAAGTGATCTTCTAAGTTTGGACTGAAAATTGCCGGGGTGTCCGGCAGTAGTGTATTGTAGAACTCTCTCTTCGTTTGCGGAGCTTGCTAAAGTTTATATTGCATATCTAGCTGGGTCTTGGCAGATTTGACAGATGCTAGTGTTTTCTTGTTTGCATGATTCATTGGGAGAGACCATGCATCCAGAAACCGATCATTGTATACTGAGAACAGATGGTGGACAAGTTTGAGTGCTTGTGGGTTGGTCAAGAAAGGGTTTCGCAGGCGAAAACAGGAGGCGCAACCGAAAACAGGACTGTGTCTTTGTTTGTTGTGGATGCAGTTACCACTATAGCTGATAACCAGTGGTTCCAAAGACTAAAACCCTAGAGTGACTTAAAAGCCCCGGTTCCTTATTTAGTGCTAACTGGGATCGACTGGGTTAGGTGTTCAATTGAACATTCGGAGTGATGGACAGACCTCGTTCAACTGCGTCCCGGAACTTCGTAAGCCGAAATTCGCCCAGGACTACTGGACAGGTGCTCCACTGCTGCGCATCCCTGGACGTATGTTTCCAGCAGCTGGGCGCACGAAAGCCCACTCCGGGATGTCTGGGATTGACGGACTCCATCTTCAGGATTGGACCCGACTACTCTTTTTACGTATCCGCTCTGTTCAGGGCTAGGAGCATCTAGGACCCACCGGACTCATGATTGATGTACATGACTTGAGTGTCGCAGGCAGCGGTGTCCAGAGATTCCAGGAGTAGGAGCAGCTGGAGGAGATGTATGGAGAGTTTGGGGGGACTTTCACGCCACCAGCGGTGTCCTCCCAGAATTTTGTGAAACGGGTTCTTCATTACTTACAGACTTGCGGTGGGAAGAGAGGAGAAGAGAGGAGAAGAGAGGACGATCTTGTGCAGTGACAGCCTGCATGAAGCTTGATTTCCCTTCAGATTCGGAATGGTGACGCTGTTTCAGGCGGCGCCTAGTTTCAAGCGGCGCGTTTTGTGACTCCGGACGACCCAGAACCTGTCAGATCTTGGAACCTGTCAGCTGCATTCTTTCCTGTGAGCAAGTATAAGTAAGTATATGTAAGTATATTGTATGCTACTTACCGAGGAACCATTGATTTAACCTGAACATATAGACACCCTTTTTGGTGGGGTATTTGGGGTGAACCCCCAAATTCCTGGTGGAACATTTGGTTAACCTTGACCCTTTTTCCAGGGAAACGGCTGGGTCGGACGATGGGACTGGCTAAGTCTATCAAATCCCATGGGCCCGTGACGCTGCGCCTAGCACCGTGACGCTGCGGCTCCGCGTCAGCCTACCACAGGCTGGTAGGATTAGTGAGATCTATCTCGAATCTCATAGATATGCTTCGGGACATGCAACAATTGGCTGTCCACCTTGATTAATCTGCAGGGTATATTGCGAAGAGCCCTGCTATGGCAATAGCAAACTGTTTGATCAAGAGAAGTCATTGACTTACTTTCCTCATTTGACTTACTGCTGGATTGGATGATGTAGACGCATGTTTAGTTTACTGTTCTTTACATTGACCATAGCCTGCTTAAGTAGGCTGCTCAAGTGATACGTAAGCTGTTTGACGGGATGTTTGGTGGTTCTATTCTGGGCAGGTTTGAAACCTGTTGAAGGCACAAGGACATAACAAGATAAACATGCCTTCCATCATGATCAAAACATCAGATGCCTTCCAAATAGCTGGATTTTGACCGATTCCTGGGGAGTTCAACAGAGTGTAGTGTTACAGCAGTTGGTACAGCATATTGCAATATATTGCAAGATCCAAATCCCCTTCACCGTGGCTGCGCGACGCGGTTTCGCGGCAGCCACCAGGTCGAGACCTTCTTCACCCTGCGCCCAGAAAAGGACTATGTGGCGGCGCCTTCGGCACGATGCTTCGTACCTTTGTTACTAGTAGCTTCTTCCTAATAGCGATGGCCTCCACCTAGTAGCTTCTTGTTACTAGTAGTA